CAGGGAGAGGAGGAGAGGGAGGGGAGGGGGAACGAAAAACAGTCTCTTCTCAATATGCGAGAACATGCAGTAAGCCTCATCCCAGCAGACGCCTGCGGGACGATATTGAATTCAGACTGGAGCGCGCCATTCGCGTTAGAGCGCGGCATGATCTTAGGCGAAGTAAACTGAGCGCTGAGGGAGCCGTGATCTACCGCAAACGGGGCTCCCAAATCAAATCTGAAATAGTCCAGCAAATGTTTGCTGGGATGAGAACTACAATAGAGCAAAGAGGTTTTTTTTGCTGATGTGTGCAATTGCACATTTTCTACGATGCTGGCGATAAGCTTAGGTACAGAGATCATAAAGTGTATCCACGCTATCAGTTACCCACGCTTCTTGTCACAGTTTGCCCAAATAAAAAAAACAAGGAAAGAACCCAAAATACATAATCTGGGCACTAAGAGCAACGATATTCCTGAAAATTGTGCAATTGCACACGTTAGCAAGTATAATCCATTCTGAGTTCGGTATCTCAGGCACTTCACTTGTTTCAACATGCTCGAACATGTTTTCTCAAAAATTCATGCGATAAATTGTCGAAACATGTTTGAGCACAAGTGTGAACTTGTTAAACATACATAAGCAAAGCGTTTCTGATTGCCCCAGCTTCTGAATGGACTATAAACCTATATGTTTGTAAAATTCTAGCACTAGCAAGCGCAGTTCAAAGAGGTAGCATTGAAATTATTGAAAAAGGCCATAAAATAGGAAAATATGATTTCATTGAGATTATCTGTGAAATAAAATGTTATCTCCTAAACGTTTTCCCATTTCAGATAGAGAGCGACATTTTTTTCTATTCGATTAGATCTATCAAACCGAATAGCGAGCTGACGTTTTGGTTCAGCAAAGATTATTCGCAGAAGCTCAACTATCCAGTTTCATGTGAAGCTGCTCGCATGGGTACGAGATTTTAGCAAGCTTTGTTTGTTTTTTGCCCCCTCCCCCCTTCTCTCCCATCAATGCTTATAATTTTCCTACTGTAGCGAAGCCAAAACGTTCCGCGCCACCACCACAACAGCCATGGGCCATTGAGGATCGGGCATCACCACAGGAGGCTCTTGACTACAGTATGAAACGAGAAGCTATTGAGAGTAGCCGAAGTGAAAAAGCGGACCGTGGCGACACGTCCGACGTTGAGCCAGGCGATGACGCCGAGTCTGAGAAAAGCAATTCGAACAGGTTTGTGACGCGGCCAAAGCGCCCACAGGGGTGATTGATGGCTGGGGGTCCCTAGGCTTCCCACAACAGAGTTGCAACTGACCTTTGCAGAAACGACTTCAGCTGCTCGCCACCTTCACTGGCTGAAGTGCAAACTCGTCCGAATGTTATACAGAATCCTGTACATCGTCCCGTTCCTACCCGCCTGGCATCGCTTCCGGCGCCATCGCCAGTTCGGCCAAGTCCTTTGAATCCGCTGTCGCTCTTCCAGGACTACTTTAGGAGGACTCAGCAGCTCAGTGAGTCCCTCAGAAATGATATCTAGTAACTGAAAAACTCGCTTCTGGGTATAAGTTATTTTAAAGTCTCGATCACGAAAAAAGTATGTGGTTTGAATCCATTATCTGCCTTGACCTGGTGTTAGTTTAGTAGGA